GATTCTCCTGTATCGTGTCATGAATTTTAATTGAGTTTTAAAGTTTTCATGGAGTCTGAGTCTCAAATCTCTGTCAAGACACGCAAAACAGCCCATGGGGCAGTCGCAGTAAATACATCTATGTAGTTTTAATTTCTCACTTCCGCTACCGTGTGAAAAAGTCCACATTGCAGAAGAAATAAAATTTATCGAGTATAACTACAAAACAAAATCCGTTATAATTAACCGTTATATGTGTTATGTATAAGAATGTTGAAAGTGAAAGATTGATTACAAAAATCGGTAATTTAACGTTTGCGAAAAAACATTCGTGACATATTAAATGAACAATGGATATTTGTTAACATATTTTATTAGGAGTTTCATATAGTCTCATAAATTCATAAGTTAAAACGAACCGAAACGAAAACATAGCGTTGAGAATTGAAGTTGCGTAAACTCATTTTTGGATGTAATGTTTTTTTAAACAAATTTAAAAATTTATGATTTTATGATGCGTTATGTAAGCATTTTTTTAATTTTTATTTTTTTTATTTTTATTTTTATCTTTTTTTTTTGGTTATTGGAGTTGCATTGGGTCAACCGAAAAGTAGACTTAATTTAAGTATTGTGAAAGTTTGATCTACAAGTAGTTGAAAATATATGTCATATAACAAAAATCGATTTTATTAAATTTAATTCTTTTTAGAGCCTACTAACCCTAGTACTTTGGTAAATGGTAGCTTATTATTTAGCTTATTGCCTTCACATTAACAGTCTCTAAATTTCCTCTATTTTCTTTCCTGAATTTTTTTTTTTAATTAGCAATGTTTTGAGAATATTTTAGCTTATACAAACTCTTAATTACTTAATAGTGCGTTAATGTCAATATGTCAATGAATCAAACTAAATTTAGACTGAGGAATTGGCAAGTGGCTTGTCGATAAAAATGTTAAATGAAGTTTTGTTGTGAGTGTGAGTGTTTTAGTGCACAAAGTAAAATGCCACCAGAGAAATTTTTGGCCACTAGTGCATAAGTAATAAATTTAAAAAACAATTATTTGCTTTTAATAGATGAACAAATATGCTCTGAATATGACTGACGTAGATTAATACTGTATATTTTTTAGAAATAATATCTATATTTTATGTGAATGATAAAAGATGTAAACGCATTGCGTTAGCACACTACCGCTCCACTTTAGAGTCGTAATTTTTCCAAGGATTTATTGAACTTTTCTCCATTGTTCCATTGCACTTTGTGACAGCTTCATCTGCGGAAATATTTAAGAACTTACAAAGAAACCGAAATGCTGGCAAATTGCCCAATATACACACATACAAACATATACACATTTGCGCTGCTCGCAAGGCTTTTCCGAATGTGCGACTGATTTTCCACTTACGGCGTAAATTTTACCTATAAATATGAGTACATATGTAAATACATACATATATAGAGCAAAAATAATATTTCCATCATGCCATGACTCGGTCATTCGTGTTTTTGTGCACATGTTGTGATTTTTCTTTTTAATTTGCTTGTAATTATTTTTATTTGCAAATGAATTTTCATTTGTGCACTCTGCATGACCGTAGTCCAAATTCATCGAAAAATGCGTGTGTGGGAATGAGAATACACACAAAGAATCGCAATGAGAGGTTGGTCCTATGGACGAAGCATTTTTTATTCGATTACAATTATTTGAAAAAAAAAATGTCACGAAATTTTCACAGAAATTCTAATTTTTTTGTAAAATTGTCTGCCAAAATCCAATTTTCAGGTTTCTTCCTTTGTCTAAGTTCCAAATGAGGTCTTAACAAAAACACGTTTTTTTTTTTACTTTAGATGCTCCTGCTAGTAATTATTTTGCTAACGCCAGGGCATCTTTGCTTTGAGAGCGTCGCAATGGCCGAACTTAAATTATTTGTTTCTAAAAATTTCAGAATTACCTTGTTAATAGTGTATGTTTGTAGCAATATAAAATTCTATTAAAGTATTTCATTTTTGTATGAGAAAAAAATTTTTTTTACTCGAGGGAACCCATGTAACCCTTTTAAGTGTGCAAACTTCAAAAACTCGATATTTTTTTATCTTATTAAATAGTGCAATTTAAATTCTAAGAAGGTCCTGGCAGCCAGTGCTCCTTTTTTTCGTGTAAATAAAATAATTGTATTATTTCTTTTTTCCCATTTATAAATAAATAAATAAATTCTCAGACATAGGCCTTTCGAAAGTTCCGCTTATCGGGGCTCGTCAGTGCATCGCCTTGCACTTACATATATTATTTTGTTTAAATATAGTACACAGTTTTGAAATAACTTCGTCTAGTCAAGAACAAGAACATTTTTTGAGCCAATAGTGGAAGCTAATTTTTCGGATTTTTAAATAAAAATTCCACAAAACACTATTTACATACACTTGTGCTCACATAATTAAGTCACGCCAGTAACAGAACGAAAGTTTATTCAAAGCAACTTCTATGTTACAGGAATGAAACTTAATTTTACAAAAAATGGAAGAAATTTTAATTCAGTTCAAAACAGAATATTTATTTTTTATTTAACTTCTAAAATAATAAAAATATTGCGTTCATTCGCTTAGCCCATCCATGTTGTTGTGCTCATATAATTAAGTCACCTAAAGAAAAATGCAGTTATTCGAAGTATACGAAATTTTTTTGCAGTTTTACCTTACCTAAGACTAAGACTTAGTTGGATAACCTTTATTACGTAGCACCTCAGTACATCGCTTAGGCATTGTTTGGACTAAAGTAGCACATTGAGCGGAACTTATTTTGTACCACTCTGCCTGTATTATTTCCCATAAAGAATCTTTGTTGCGAGGTTTTCGTCAAGCTACGGCTCTTTTTATAATCCTTCATATGGTTTCTATGGGGTTTAGGTCCAGACTTTGAGCTGGCCAATCCAGAATTTTAATATTTCGACTACGTATCCAAGTTTTAACGACCCGCGAGCAGTGTTTGGGCCGTTATCGTGCTGGAAAATCCAAGATAACGGTAAGTTGTCCACATAAKCACCGTCTAAATTGTTCTCCAGTATTAATTTGTACATTTCACCTGTCATTTTCCCGTCTATTTTAACAATCGGGCCAACGCCTGATGACGTGAAGCAACCCCACACCATCACTGATGAACCGCCATGTTTCACGGTTTTTTTAGTGTATTTGGGATTGAGTTCTTGCAAAGGGGGTCGTCTTACATATGGCTTCCCATCATTACCAAATACATTAAATTTGGATTCGTCACTCCAAACCACCAAATTCCAAAATTTAGAGTCCTTCCAGAGATGGTCTTTAGCAAACGCTTTTCGCTTTTCAATATTTTTTTTTGAAACGTCACGTTTTCGTCTTGCTAAACGGCCATTCAATGAATTTTCTTGTAGTCGTCTTCGTACAGTTTGCGCAGATATTTGTACGTCGTGGTATTCCTCTAATTGAGCCCTAATTACTGTGGAGGTTAAAAATGGATCAGACTTACTTACCCTTACTAAGGCCCTATCGTCAGAACGGGTGGTCTTTCTTGGCTTTTTACGCGGTAAATTTTCAAAAGTCTTATTTTTTTTATAAAATTGAACAACGTTATTAATTTTGCCTCGAGAAAATCCTCGCACAATATTAGGGATGTTGCATAAAGAAATATACCTCGTTTTTTTACATGTTGTAAACTGAATGACTTAATTATATGAGCACATGTGTATATATTAATTTAAATATTTATTATATAATTAAAAAAGTAGTAAATATACCATTTTTTAGCCTTTGAAACAAATTTTGCCCCTTAAGTCAAGGAATGAAATAATTATATAGTAAGAGATGTAAATAATGACATTCTAGCAATAAAATTTATTTTTGTTAAAAATCGTTTATAAGCTGACAAGTCTTAAAATTTAACAATAAAGTAAAACATGTGCCTTTAACAATGCATTTATTACAATTTGGTAGAACTTTATTAGTAACCTATATATGTAGTTTTTAGATATCTTATTTGTAAATACTGAATAAAAACATAACTCCTTCTTATTGTTTATTGTTAGCAATACCTAGTAATGTACGTACACAAATAAAAATATTGTACATTTAAATAGAGTCGCAGAGGCTATGAAGTAAAAACAACGTATTAAGAACCGTTGATATTTTTTTTGGTGTTAATGTAATGCGGAAATAAAACTTTTTTATTTACAATGCTTCAGATATATTGCATTGAACCGCCACGTTTCTATTTCGATAAAATTCCAGATGATTTAATTGACAATATTAAAGTATTTTGTTTGTTGAAAAAGAATAGACACCATAGCCATAAATAAACAAGCAGTTGTGGAACTTGTTTTAAGCTTAAATAGCTTTTTTGGAGTCTACAAGCATTCTATAAACTCTACAATGCTCAATCAATGCATACTTTTAGGCGGTAGTAAATAATATGGGAGCGAATGTGGTATTTCCACCTACTCCTTCTGGTTAAAGAATTCATTAACGTTTTTTGGTTACAGAGATCAAATTTTCACATTATGCGAGGTATCTGCAAGTGAATATCAAATTTTCATAGAACTGACTATAGAGATTTTTCTGCTTGTTTTACTGTTCATGACTATGAAATTGCCTTTAGCGTACGCCCCCATATAGCAATCATATAACATCCTAGTGACTGGTGAAGGCCCTCAGTGATGTGATGAATCTCAGGGAACATTTTATTAGTATGTGACATACTATCATAAGTAAATAGTATTGACAAAAATAGATAAAATCGGGTCGGGTACTACCTCCAACTCCCATATACAACATATACAAGAGTATAAATTTTCGGTTTGCAAATCAAATCACAATCTTGCATATATGTATATAGTCATTTCAAAAGATTCAAGGGATTGAGCAACAAGCTTCGAGATTTTGTCGGTATGTTTTCCCAGGATGACATGAAGAATGATTTTTGCGGGGTAAATGAGGGGATGTAGGAAATAATACAAAATTTCGCTTCTAGTTAGAGTACTATCATTTTTTAGGCGCGTTTGATAGATGTGATCCAATGAATTGGATAGTTAATATTAACACTTGTATGGGGTGGATCAGTAAAAGGGTCGCATATGAAAAGAAAGTGTAAGATAATATATAAAAAGCAGACTTAAGTTATGTTGCATTAGAATAAAGCAGCTTCAACATACAATAATTGCGACTACATACGTATGTATATTCAAGTGAGTACAGACATTCTAGCCAAGATCTATTTGTATATGTATATTAAAAATTTTCTTGATATTTAAACAACATTTTGCTCATAAAAAACGGGTAGACCTTTCAATCTGCGTTACATGTCCACGAACGTGACATTTAGGTAGAATATGCGTTGAAAGACGTTCTTGAACAGACATAAAATATATACATGCATATATCCATATATTTTGCTATTTTCAAACTGTCAAAAAATTTAATTGGGGCATTATATTTTAGCGCTACATTAAAATTCCACTATTCAGCCTTCAGATCAACATTTCTATGAGTTCCCAAAAATTGTCTACACTTATTCTAATTCTATTTTAATTTTGTAAAATTTTGATTACTTTCAACGTAGTTCGAAACCCTGGGCATGTTGCAGTCCAGTACACAGATATAGCATAATTACACTGAGCGCTTGCACACGGTCCTCCGACTTTCCCAGTGTTGCACTACTAGCATCAATGTTATCCCTGTTCGATGTGTCGCCAGATGCCAAGCTAGAATAAAGAGCCGTTTCGCTGTCTAAAGCCAAACGTAGTTTGCTAAGCTACATGCGAATGAAATGAGTTAGTATTGCACAATTAGTATTTTTGTTCGTCTAACGGTTGCTTGTAACAGCGGTAAGAAAACTCGGAAAGCGAGATATTTAATACGCATCATATATACATTGTGACAAAAAAGGACAAAAAAATTATTTAATTATTCATCCAAATTTATTTTGTCGCCCTCAAAGTATACTTACACTTATCCCAACGATTTTTCCAGTTCTCGAAACACTTTCCATAAGCATCCATAAAATTCGATCACAGTCGTGACTCTATGGGTTGGGGCATTTTCATAGAGTAACATCCATGAAATATTCCTTATAGACTGTGCTGCCGCTCGGAACAAATTCATGTTGCACCTAAACATAAATATTGAAAAAAAAACAATGAACATCACCTTGATCAATCTCGTCCAAAGAGACCTATTTACGGTACTCTTTTGAAAAAAAAAAAATCCGTTTTATCGGGACGAGTCGAGCATGAACGTGTTTCATACCCAAAATCATTCGAACGGACTTCCAAGAGATGTCGCGCTCCCTTGAATGTCGATTTTCAAGTGTCGAAGGTCGTCCAGAACGAGGCATATCTTCAACGATCTCTCGACCATCTTTAAAGTCTTTGTACCACTCGTAGGCTAATATTTTTGATAAAACTGAATCATCGTAAGCCTTGTCCAATATTCGCAATGATTCTGCACACGAAAGTTGGTTAAAAATCCAAAACTTGAGACAAAGTCTTTATTCGCTAATTGTAAAAATCGGAGGGGAATGCTTGACAGAGCGTGCTTATATTTGGTATATTTAGTAATTAAGGACCTGATCACTTATTCGCAGAAATTCAATTTTGATTTCATGGTACTTTTTTGTCACAATGTATATTATAACTTACTGCTGTAACAAGCGACCAATTTAGATGTGGATATTAAAAACAAGAGTCCTAAATTTAGACTTGGTTATAAACTGAATGCTACTGAGCTTACCAGCGAGTTGATTTGTTCAATGCGTTCAGAAGCTGCCAATTCACCGTAAAGATTCTTGCTGGCATTTTTAGCTAAAGTCATGACATCTTCATCTTTAAGGATGCCGATTATTGGCTCACTAATTGAACTAATCTGTTCGATGCTCAAAGCTGTTACTTCTGATGGTATAGCTTCCAAACGTTTTGTAACTACATCGAAAGTAGTAAAAGGACTACAAACCAGCGAGGATTTGCTAAAATTATATGTAATTATTTTTATCATAAAAATTTGTGAAATACTGAATTTGCTTATTTGTAAATGTAACTAATCCAGTTATCCGAAATTCCTAGTTTGAGTACTTTGATTAAAGGACTCGAAATTTCGTGAATACCCAATTATAGTCCCTCTATACTCACCGAGATGGCGATCTTTGTGGACTGGGCGGCAAGCTCTTCGTCAAAGTGGCTAAATTAACGCTGGATCCACCACCACCGCTACCAGCCAATGAAGACACAATGCCAGGTATAGCGAGATTATTCGCCGAATTAACACGCTTTATTCCTTGTGCTAATAGACCTGTCAGACTTGAACGATGAACCTCGAGCACTGGCGTTGGTGGTGCTTTAATGGAAACGGCTTCTGCCGTCTCTTCGCCTGATATTGATGGCATGGCCTCTTCACCTTCAGAAGCGTCGCAAGTGTCTGCATCGGTAACAGTGAACTCTGGAGTTGTGCTAGTGATGGACGGTTGTCGCAGCACATTGGAGCAATCAACGGGACCACAAACTGTCGCATTCTGGCATTTCGTTATACATTTCTTGTGGCAACACATGGCGCACTCACTGCATTGGACCGCATCTTTCAGCCAAATTTTTTTGCCACAGAAATCGCACTGAGTTGCACGTTGAAAATGGGTGCGCACAAAGCTGTGCGAACGCAACTGATTCGAAGTTGTTTGGTTAGTCGATGTAAGTGCACTGGAACTTGGCGTGGTCCGCAACGAATTTGTCTCAAAAACACCACTATCGTTATCAACTTTTTCGTCAGCGTTATTTCTTAGAAAAGAATAACTCATTGAACAAAAGTCTAAATTTAAATTAAGATGAGTCTCACTTACTTGCTCTTGGACTTGGAAACTTGTTTGGTTGGTGGCTCGCTGGGTTGTAGATTTGGGTTACCTTCCCAGGTAAAAGCCAAAAGCACATCGCCAAAACACAAATCAGGTATAAAACCAGATTGGCTGGAAAGCTTATGCGTCTTCCTGCGAAAAGGTGGTAAATTAATTTATATTAAGTACTTAGTTTTGAGATTTCACGAAAATATCGCTCACAAATCTTGTGGGATTGGTGGACTTAGTTCATATTTCTTCCAGCACTGCAGCAAACTTGTTTCGGAACACTCAGCTAAAATCTGACCCACTGGTATGTTTACAAAGCCCAACAATATGCCGTCGCCAGCACTTTTTGAATACACGCCCACATTCAGATAACGCGACTTAGCTTCCAATTTGAAGCAGCTCAAATCATCCATATGTATGAGACGATTTATGCTGCGATCTATGGTTGAGTGCTGATAATAATGCTCCACTTCACCTACGGTGTCAATCAGAACCTTTGGCGAACCCTTCGTCTTATCCTCCGTTTTTAATGACTGTTTGCCTTTCAAGTTCTTAAGTTCTTCATCCTTTTCCTTGTTATGCTCATTGACCTCACGACTGATGGTCTTTTTCAATGCCTTCGTTATAAGCTTACTTTTCTTTGGTGAATTAGTTGGAGTATTACCAAGACTAGACTCGCTGGAAGAACCTTTGTCACCTGTGCTTTGGCGGATAGATGCTTGTCTACCGACCAACTCATTGGTCTCAGTTGGAGTCTTGCACACACTATAGCCTGTATGGGCATCTCCCAAATCTTCATATAATTCGAGATCCTCCAAAATTGCATCATTTCTTATGATACCGGGAATAACACGCTCAATACGTAAGCGGTAGGCTTTAGTTTGCAAACTTTTGAATATCTTCGCGACTTGTTGGATAGACTGCACTCGTTTGCCTTCAATTGCAATTAACATGTCACCTGAACGTAGGTCGGATTTGCAGGCGGGAGTGTTGGGCAAAACTGCTTCAATTTCCACGCATTGCTCAGTATTCTGCTTAAATAGTATGCCGATCTGTTGATTCTTCGCCTTGTGTATTTCAATGTCAATCAAAACTATTACATTGCGGTTATCTTTCTGACGTATCTCGACAAATGCGAGCGAGGCTAAAGTCAATGTACAGTAGACCTCTGTTACAATATCCGGACACATTAGTCGCGATATTTCGGACACTCTGACCTCCATGGTACCGTTTGGTTGTATATCTCCATCAGCATCTTCCTCTGGTGTTTTGTGGAAAAATGGCTTGTAACGTAGTTTATAATTTGGAAGCGTGTGCTTGCGTCGCACTGCTTTCCGTATTTGGTTAGATATCAGACTGGTGATGTTCGATTGCATTTGACGACCCTGATATTTGGATTCGATCGCCAAGTCAAGTTCTGGATCACCCAGAAAGCTTAGCGACCAGTGCGTGTATGGCTCACGAGTAAATTGTAGTCGCGCCAAGCCAGACAATTGTTTTACTAAAATAGTTGCAATTACTAATTAGTAGAACAAACATACATATGTATTATAGTATTATATGTAAATTACCGATTAAGGTGAGAGATCCCTTTTTACCTAGTACCATATCGGCATCGATGGATGTTCGAAAATTTCCTGTATAATGAATTTCAAGTAATATGTCGAGATTCTCAATACGATCACCGGTATCGTTCAGTTCAATGCTGTGTACGCGTAATGTTCTAATCTCAGGAAATTGATCACCAAGCTCCAGTTCTTTTATCTAAAAATAAACTAATTTTCATTAAAGTGAACTTCAGTGCTTTTGCTTTTTTATTTTAAGAAAAACTAGAATACTATATTTTCTAGAAAATATGACATATATATATACATATGTAGTATGTCACATCGACTACATCCGAATAACATCGTCGAAAGATGTTAATGCTATATAAGCCATAGCGCTTAAATTCCTTATATGATATTCGTTTTATGGATAAAAAGTTAAATGATTTAAAAATAAATATTTATCATGTGATTGTTATAAATCTTAAGTGGCTTATAACAGAAACGCTTTTTAGTTCATAAGGTATGTTGATACTCGTACATTAACAACATATAGTAGATGTTACAAACTGGGTTTACGGTCAAAAGGCTTTTTAAAAGTTTACTTTAGAGCCTCAAAAACTCTTTATTTATATTTTTTGAAAGCTTCTGAAATTTCACTAAATGAAAGAGCGCACTTTCTTGTATGAGACGATTTGAAATTGCTGGAGACTTTAAAATTTGGACGAAAAGTAGGAAATGGGCGACGAGACGAGCATTGCTGTTTTGATCTGATTAGAAATGATCTAACAAGAGCAATTATGCAATAATTTCATTCTATTTTGTTAAAACAAAAATATTAATATTAAAGGTGTGCAAACGCTTTCAGTTTCAAAATTTTTCTAGATGGAAATTAGCTATCTGAGCCATTTCAAAGCAATTTTATAGTCACTTATTTGCATATAATTATTTGCTGCTCCGAAACGAGTTTTTCTAGACTTCAATAAGAAGACCACAATTTAAGCTACGTTCAATGCACAAACACTCACACTCACAAAGAAGAAGTGTTACGGATATGATTTCTAAATTAGTTATAACGCAGGAGGAAGTGGCCACGCCAATTGCCCTGCATTTCTGTATTTGAGAAATTCTTTGGAGCATATGGATATTTAACCTTAACCAAACTCGTCAAAGCTCTGGATGGAATTAAAAAAATAACAATGCTGAATAAGATTTCGAAGAATGCAAATTAATGTTATGTGGTTTGTGCTTTTACTTTCCGAAGGTAAGGATTGCTGTCAACTCACCGTCAGCTTATCAAACAATTTGCCGGTTGTAGTTTTTGCCAATAGTTCATCAAGCTCTAACGACAATTTGCGGTAGAACCATTTCCGCACGCGACTGGAGTTTTTCAGTTCATGGAAAAGGAATTGCATCACAAAGTTAATTGACATTAATGGTGCTGCTTCGGCAGCACCTACAGTATGCGTGTGTCCGGGCACCGACGATGCAGGCGGCGATAGATTTATGGCATGTGCAGTTTGCTGAATTGTCTAAAAATTTCAATAATATTGTATATGCAAGTGCGACAATATTCATGTTTACTTTTTGATTTTTGGGGATTTCTCACTTACCGTTGGCAGCGAGTATTTCGTGTTGATATCCTTTTGTTCCGCACTCTCTTCAGGAAGTACAGAAAATCGTAAATATAGGTAATATTGCAACAAAAGAACTAAAACACCTCCAATGACGGTAAATACAAGGCTGAGCAACAACAACATCGATAATGGTATATCCATTGTAATTAATTTTTCTTATACAATTTCAGATAAAATATAATGCACGAAACACACATACAATGTCGGAGTAACACACTTTGATTTAAATATTAAATAAGAAAGTTAAACAATTTATTCTTCACTGTTCTAGGTTGACCAATCTGTTAATATTTCAGCTTATTAAACAAATTGCAAACGTGTATATATTTCCCACAAAATGTATTTCATGCTGACTTCTGCTTCGTACGAGTAACATGCGAGTTCTGAAATTATTTTAAGGGGTGTGTTTCTCTCATTGCTCTCTGCTAACCAGTGGTGAATTATTGTATAGAGAACTTACAACGAAATCAATAATGATACACTAAGAGTACAGTTCTCAGTGAAACAGCTGTTGAACAATTTGTGGGGTTGTTTTATTTCAACCGGTCGTAAGTTGTTTTACAAGTGTATTACAGCTTTGTTGGTTCAGTAAAATTATTTGTAAAGACTTAACAAAGGCATTTCTTGCACATACATACTTACTATGTACTCAGACAAGTAAAGTTGTGTGTGTCTCATATCAATAATGTCATCTAAAGCATGCCTATAAAGAAGAGTTGGGTTCGGGATGAAACCGCACAATTATCAAAGAAAAAGGCGATTTGATTTTATAAAATGTTTCCACGAATTCCGTATTCATTATTCGTTGACATTATGAATGAATCACAATCACATTCGATATCCAACTAAAACTATAGGTCATATAATTACATAGTCTGATATATCATTGCTTGATTTAATAAAGATGCCTGAAATATATAATATGTACGTATAGAACTGAACCGATGTGAGGAAAAATCTTGAGTAAATAAGAGGAAAAGCTATTGGGGGCGGTGATATTGTCTCACTGAATTTATGGTTTATACCGATTTCGATAAAAATCTGCTAGTGGTATAGAAAACCTTAACTTTATTAAAATGTCCGTAAATGAAAAATTACCCTAATAAACTGGTTAGAGTCAACTAGAAAGTTGGAATACTAAACAAGTTTATAACTATGTTAGGCATATGGGGCCTAGGACAAGTATTGACCCGATTATAACTGCTTTCACCATAAGGACAGATAATTATCATAGAAATACGGTTAAAGCAATTCACAATTTAACCGATGTATGCAGTATAAATTCTACCTGAAAGAGGCTGACCGAACTTTTTTGTAAAAATGTGAGGATAGCTACTGATGTTGCCCGATTTCGAATATATTTCGCGGTATTTCGCAATATTATAATACACGGACAGTAGGCGTGGTTTTGATCCGATTTCGCCCTTTTTTACAACGATTTCGCTTTAAGACATTTTGGGCCGTGGCTGATTTCGCCAAACTTCACGACAATATCTCAATTATAATTCCAGTATCAGTTACATAGCTGTCTCGATTAGCTTTATTTAGATGAACAAAACTATTACACTCAGTAACAAGATATTACGAGAGTATAAAAAATCTATATTCCAGGGCTTAGACTTATTTTCATTGCTTCCCGATTTCACCTCATGTCCGAAAAAAAAACTTGACTAGCTCAAATGAGATATTGTATCCATTTGATATAAACATAACCTTCGCTTCATTGGTGTAGACACCGCTTACGCGATTATCGCCGATTTAATTTGAATTGAATGTCCAATGCGCAAAGGACCATAAATCTTCCGCAAAACCTTTCCATGCATCTGCACCCTATAGCAAGACGGGAGTATTGAGTGACTTATAGAATTTGATCTGCGTTCGTCGAGAGAGTACTACACTTCTCAATTGCCTTCTCAGTCCGAAGGAGAACCTGTTGGAAAGAGTTATTCTGCGACGGATTTCGAACTGACAGTGTTGTTGGTGTTGATACTGGTTCCAAGATAGCAAAACGTGAAAGGAAAGATAAACATAACCAAAGGGGCTAAATTTAGTACATTTGGTATACGAGGAAACAAAAACCAAATAATCGGAAGTTATTATATTAAAAATACGAAGTTTAGGCCAAGGAATAGAACAATTTTATTTATATTTAGCACCAAACCTCATTACGATTAAGAACACATATCCCTCTTCATTACACCAGTTTCAGAAAACTACCGACGTTTTCCTTTTTAGGTTAGAAGATCCTTATATTCAGTATAAAAGGAACTACAAAAGCTGTATTATTATAACCGAACGATTGCACTATCCCCACTCCTGCGAGGGGCGCATCCACATACGTGCAGAATAAGACGAGTGATACTGCTCAGGTACAGAAACAAAAAATTCAACAACTACGATTTCAAATACATTATAAACAATTGTTACGATTTCAATTATTGGGAGAGAGCAATATTCTTTTTTCAATTTCGAAATGTGAATCAGATAAAACAAATTTGCAGAAATGAGAATTAAAAAGTAAGGAAGGGCTAAATTCTGGTGTCACATTTTATACTCTCGCATCACATACCGAATTTGTGTAAAGTTTTATTCCGCTATCATTATTGGTTCCTAATGCATATATTATACAGAGAAGGCATCAGATGGAATTCAAAATAGCGTTATATTGGAAGAAGGCGTGGTTGTAAACCGATTTCATCTATATTCGTACATGTCATCAGGGTGTTAAGAAACTATTATGTACCGAATTTCATTGAAATCTGTCGGGTAGTTCCTGAGATATGGCGTTTGGTCCTTAAGTGGGCGACGCCACGCCCATTTTCAATTAAAAAAAACAATGGGTGCAGCTTCCTTCTGCCACTTCTTCCGTAAAATTTAGTGTTTCTGACGTTTTTTGTTAGTCGGTTAACGCACTTTTAGTGATTTTCAACATAACCTTTGCATGGGAGGTGGGCGTGGTTAATATCCGATTTCTTCCATTTTTGAACTGTATATGGAAATGCCTAAAAGAAACGACTCTATACAGTTTGGTTGATATAGCTATAGTAGTTTTCGAGATATGTATCAAAAAGTTAGTAGGGGGCGGGGCCACGCCCACTTTTCCAAAAAAATGACGTCCAAATATGCCAATCCCTAATGCGATTATTTGTGCCAAATTTCATTTTAGTATCTTTATTTATGGCTTAGTTATGACACTTTATAGGTTTTCGGTTTCCGCCATTTAGCAGGCGTGGCAGTAGGCTGGTTTTGCCCATCTTCGAACTTAACCTTCTTATGGAGCCAAGAAATACATGTACCAAGTTTCATCATGATATCTCAATTTTTACTCAAGTTACAGCTTTCACGGGCGGACGGACGGACAGACAGACGTCCATATTTCAACTCTACCCGTCACCCTGATCACTTTGGTATATATAACCCTATATCTAACTCTTTTAGTTTTAGGACTCACAAATGTGAACAAAACTATAATACTCTCCTTATCAACTTTGTTGCAAGAGTATAAAAAGTCAAGATCTTAACAATTATTGAACTGGTCAACCACTCAATCTATCAAAAGCACAACAATTGTAACACCTCTAATAAAAAACTAAAGTTCAAGCAGGCATAATAGTTAAACAGTTCGTTCTTAATTACGATAATTTCAAATTGGCTTGTTAAGGTCTAAAAGCTAGATACGAAAAGGGAAGAATACTGGTCGATAAATAAATGCCGACACTAATGAACTTGCCTAAAATAAAGAAAGAAGTATAGAATTAATTAAATTGGAATCCACTGTTTCAAATTGTTTGTCAGTTCTATCGACACAAAACATCCCCACAGACAGCTGGGACCCTTTTCTAGTATCTTGACATAAGGATGGAGTCATGTGTAGAAGTTCTCGCAAGTGAGGAAAGTTCTCTCATCGTTATGCACTTGGGAGTGGCCAGAAACGATTCTTTTACATATAACTCAAGCAGCTCACGACTTCCGGTCTTTGAACAAGTATCCTCTGGGTAGCTTAAGAACATCCGTTTGAAGACGAGCTAAAGTGAGAAGGCGAAAATCCCTTCCGCAGGGTTGTGCGCTGAGTTTTTGAACCACCACGTAAAAAATCATACCAATGAAAAGGAATAACAAGCCTAGGATGAGAGACCCCCCTTATGATGGCAACCATCGCAAGCGAAATAAGGACTACGAATTGAGGGCGTGCACCTGGAATGTCCGATCCCTTAATTGGGAAGGTGCCACTGCCCAGCTGGCTGATGTCCTCGTAAAAATAAAGGCTGACATCACCGCCGTCCAAGAAATGCGATGGCTGGGACAAGGACAGAGACGAGTTGGTCCTTGGCCAGTGGCCATATAAAGGAGCGAAAGTTTGGTGTGGGATTCGTGGTGAAAGAGAGACTCCGTCGCCGAGTACTATCATTCACTCCGGTGACTGATCGTCTAGCCACAATCCGCACCAAAGCGAGGTTCTTCAATACATCGCTGATTTGCGCCCACGCCCCGACGGAAGAGAAGGACGATGTGACTAAAGATGTCTTTTATGAGTGCTTGGAGCGCACTTATGAGAGCTGCCCCCGCCACGATGTCAAAATCGTGCTTGGCGACTTTAACGCCAGGGTGAGCAAAGAAGGTATCTTTGGCACTACGGTCGGTAAATTCAGCCTCCACGAGGAGACATCCCCAAATGGGTTGAGGCTGATCGACTTCGCCGGCGCCCGAAATATGGTTATCTGTAGTACTAGATTCCAGCATAAGAAGATACATCAAGTTACCTGGTTGTCTCCGGATCGAAAAACCACCAACCAACTAAAACAACCAATAAGATCGATCATGTTGTAATAGATGGTACACACGTCTCCAGTGCTATAGATTTGCGTGCGCTCCGAGGACCTAACATCGACTCGGAACACTACTTTGTTGCAGCCAAGATTCGCACCCGCCTCTGTGCAGCAAAAAACGCAAGGAAGGTTCGGCGTTCAGAAGCTGCAATCGCAACAGACAGCCGAGCGATTTTCTACACGCCTTGCACTCCGGCTCTCTGAGAGCACTCGCCAACAACTCGGTATAAGGGGGCTGTGGGACGGCATTTCAAACTCCTTACGTACAGCTGCAACCGAAACTATTGGTTTTCGGAAAAAATAACAGCTGGTGCAACGAAGAGTATCGTGTCGTAGCGCATTTGCAGACAGAAAAAGAAAGGCTTAAATGCGTGAGTACGAGGAGCTTGATAAGCTGGCCGACAGGGGTTATATTCGAAAATTCTACGAAAAAATGCGGTGGCGTACAGAAGGTTGCAAGACCGGAGCGTACTCTTGTAGAACCCCCAAAGGAGACCTAGCGTCCGATGTCAAGAGCATACTAAAATTATGGAGGGAA